ACAAAGTTATGAATAATCTACTAAAGTGCGTGGGTTCAGTCAAAAGATCGGGTCTGCCAGGCTCAACGAGACGAATGGCAAGAAAGTTTCCCGTCCCGGGTAAATATCGTAACCACCGACCACCTTTTCGGTACCTTTGAATTGCGTAACCCGGTGCGCAACTGACGTCAAGTGCTTTCACAGTTTCTTCATGTGTGTGGAACCGATGGCCGCGACGACGGAGAATCGTTATGCGTACCACGTTCGCAGCTCCTATTTTGCGGCTGGTCTTATCGAGAAATATATTCCCTCGCGTTTAAGATTTCGCGGAATCTGACATCAAAATTCCAACAAACATTTTCACGGAATCTTTCGTTACTTCAGTCAATTATTTCAAGTGATTCGGGAGAGTGCTAAAAATTTATGTTTATAATAAAATGTTACTCGAATTATCCCATATTATACAAATAAACAAAAATCCAAGTTCAAGATAATAACTTACTTCTCCCTGTCGGAAAATAGCAGAAAAGAGCTCGGGGTCGGATCCGACCCCATCTTACCAAGTACGACTCTTAAAACCTACCAAATGATTCGTGGGTCAACCAAAGTGTGAGGGACGGAACAGTTTCTGACAAAGACACACGTGTCCATCTCTTTCCAGTTACTAACTATTTCCACCGTAATCACCTACCCCCAAATTACACGGTACCAGTCTATCATCCGTTTCTATTTCGGTCTACAATCACTTCATGCTTAACAATCGTCCCCTATCCATTCTCTGTCCCTCTGTTCCGTATCTACGTCAAATCCAGAAACCCAGGTCCTCGCATATTATAAAAGAAGACACGTTCGATACACACTCGGGCCACCAGAAAGGTGTTCTCGAGTCAATTGACTTTCATCCGCCCCTAGACATTCCCCAATGCCTCACAGCCTGCGGTATCATAAAAGCTCCTTTTGTCCGTTTAGCGCCGAACACTGGTCCCTCCTTTCCCTGGACCAGCCTGGTGATATCCTCGTGACATTCTCCGATCTGGCAATTCATTATCCCCCAGGCCTCCTTTGGAGTCCAAGCTTTGCTCTCCACCCTCTTTGAAGGAAGATAGAGAAGGGGATTCGTGGTCGCCCCGCGGCATTCCGTTCGTTCGCGTAATCTATTTACGGAGCGAAAGTCGCCGCGGCGTCAAGTATGAATATTTATCGCGGCGATCGTGGCGATGTCTACGCGGACGGGTCCGACGGGGAGAAGAAGAAGGTGACCGCCCCGGGCGAGCCAGGAGAACGGGCCCGCACGCGTTCTCTTCTATCTCCCCCAGGGGGATTCCGCGGTCCCATTCGCTGACGGCCCGTAGCGAAAGGTGGAAGAATTCTCGTGTGTCATCCCGGGCTATCGATCCTTATTTGGTGCAGCCGGATGGGAACAGGAAGGGGGATCATGCCGCCCCGGGGTCTCGGGTTACACTTCGCTTAACTCTCTGGATATCCCGAGGAGGTTACAGGGATCTGTCATTAGGATGAGTCAGAGTTTCGACCCGGAGCCACCGGTCTCTGGCCAACCGTATCGAGAAAAAACAATGATCTTTTGGAATTGACAGCCTAAATGTTCAACCTAGGTCTTAAGCCAAAGGTCAGCCTTATCTTCGATTCAAGATATCGATTCACCAACACTGTGATTTTATGGATGAGTAATACAAGTCCTTGGATGGATCATGGAAGTCCAAACTCATTCAAAATGATTCCTCCTGTATTTCTATGTACATACATATATCATGTGTATGGCCGTAGATACTTCACGGCCAATCAAGCATTTGGACATTTTTCAATGTCCCCAGAGTTTAATGGTTCTCTGGGGCCCTTCGCAAAAATCATTCTGGAAACGCTCGATGAAACGGGAGGAGCATTTCGAGCGACCAGTGCTGCGAATGTAATTTCTACGTCGACGGAAATGCGGGGGAAGACTACCGAGTGTGGACCATCGCCTGGGTTAGATCACTATTTGGTAACTTGTAATGTGCAAGAAATTTCCGCCTTATGATAGATAATACGTACGCAATAGTGGTGACTCCGTTAACTAACTTAGTATAATAAGCAGAACGAATTATCATTAGTGGTCCAACCTAGGCGATCGTCTAAATTTGGCAATCTTCCCCTAATTCTGAAGATGGTGGCTTCGTCTCAATGGACATACCCTATTGAACAATTATTTTCGATCGAATTCACTTAACACGTTGACTGCCACAGTGAAAAAGGTCGTTCGTAGCCAGACACACTTTATTTCATTTGTTAAATCATAAATAGTCGAAAATGTACGCGTTTAGTCACTAGAGATAAGTTGTCTTGTTTTAAATTATACTGTGATATTAATTTTACAGAAAAGTATTGTAATATTATTTAAATAATCGAGCCTCTTTGCAATGTTTCAAATACGAGTTATCTCGTAGTTGGGAGTCAACGTGTTAAGTACAATTTTACTAAATCCTAAGGATTGAACAGTCTAGAGTCTCGAAATCTTAACCGAAACGGAACAAACCTGTCCAATATCATTACTTTCCATTCGTAATCTGCTCCGATTCCTCTCACTATAATACTTTCTTCAGACATTTCCCAATCTTTCTAGTATTATTACTTACTCTTCTAACCAAATTCCGTTCATTCGACGACGCAATAACGATTCCTGTAAAGCTAGCTCTATTCAGTTCTGACGTAGCCACAGACACATGGGGCTTCGTGTCCCGCGGCCAGACTCGTGCAAACGCTCGTTATACGGCCGATACGCATTGCGTGACACGACTATGCCGAGGCTCATGGCGGGGGCGTATTCAGCCGTGAAACGCACCCCGTCGCGCGTTTACATAAGCGAACGGGAAGACACACACACGTGTCCGCGTACACGCACACCCTCTCAAGTGGGTTAATCTCCACCCGTTTCGATTCAGCTGGTTATCTCGAGAGGGAGCGTGGGACGAGGGAATGAGACGACGCCGGCTGACCCCGGAACTACTGGATCGTCGACGATTATCGGGGTCTGGGGGATCGAGGTCGCGATCCGATCTTGATTTTCGGGATGAACGGAGTCCGGTACCTGCTGGGAATTTTCGCCGAATAATCACTGGTGCCGAGAGTAAAAATTTCTGATGGAATTGCATCGTAAGCGACGCCCTTCTCAAATTCGAGTACGTGGGAATTTTAACATTGAATTTGTCCGAAGGAAAGTCCACTGTTACACTAACAGCAGCCTGTATAAAAACGTTATTAATCTATTTTAAAAGCGGCAACACCGATTCCGTAATCGATGGTACAAATGGAGAGATGGTGATTCTAGGTGAAAAAAGATACACGGAATAGTAGAGAATAAAATATTATCGTAAATGGTTTAGTTTTAGAGAGAATCGGAGTTTGAATCTGGATCTGAAGTAATTACATAAATTCGAAAATTTATGTTATTCCACGTTCATTCCACGGTGCAAGGGACAGTTTAGCGCCATGATATGTAAACGACCGGTTCGCGTAACAACTGCACCGCTCCCATCCCGTTTACGGATGTCCATCGGTGAAAATTGAATGTTTCACCTCCGACATGCACGAAATCATCGATTTCCGATCGTAGACGATAAAGATACGATGGGGCTGCCGCCTTCATTACGTCTAATTACGGGACGCGGCCGTTTGATCTGGGGGCAGTTGTTACCTTAAGGCGGCGGTCACCTAGATATCGGGCATTGTTATCCTGCCTGACCGCAACCACTTAACCGAGTTGTAAGCCCCCCCCCACGAGTTCAACTTTACCCTTCAACTAGGGAAAGACAATAATGTCGCGCATGCGCCCCAAACTTCTTAAGGTCGCAAAGTTCGTCCGAACAATCTGACCGTCGGCTCATGCCTGCGGACCGTGATGGCATCCGACGCCAGAGTTAATTGAGTTTCCGGGGCGTAGTTCATTTTTTTTTCGACCTATGGGGTGGGATGATCGAGGGTTGGGCCACTTCGCGGGATTTTTGAAAAATGTATCCGTGGACTGTCGAGGATTTTGCATGTCTACAGTCTCGTACGAAATACTTTTTTTAAAATGAATATCGCAGCAGAAACACCCTATACGATTTGGAAAAAATTAATGGACGAATCTTTTGCAATCTTAGGCTACTTTGACTTTCAAATTCGTAAGGAATTATTGTTTCTGGAAAGATATTTTTGTTTCTTTCCGTATGGTCACATGTCTAATTTTTAGAGATTTTAAACTGATGTTCGGAGAATGTTTCTGACCAAATTGATCTTTAATCAGACAGCGATCTGCGTTACCGACTAAAGGTACAACTCTACGACAGTCTACTTTGCCGGTATTGGCTGAATGTGAGCAACAGTCGGTAACAGGGTTGTATACTCCATTTGTGCTAAGAATACTACGAATTCATGCTTTATCGGTAACGTCGGGTATTGACACTGAAATAGCAAGGCGATCTTTAAAGCCTCGAAGCAGATGATAAAAAATTAGATTGGATTTCAGATCTGTTTTGTATCTTGTCTGTGGTTACATACAAAGTCCCGTAAGGTGCTCATCTACGGTGATAACTTATCACTGATAAATCAATTTTTATTCCTCATCGGTGGTATAGTATCCTATATATCTTCAGTGACACAGTGTAGCCACCAGGTTAGATATGTTGCCACGAAGGGCGCTGAGTGCTTGTTAAGATAGAAATCTTTCTGCCTGTAGAGTAGTCACTGATTCTGCATCAGATGGCGCTGCATTTGCGTCTCAAATTTTCAAATTTGAAAAGATCATTAAACTTTGAAAAAAAAACGGAGACGATGAATACTAAACAATTAATTATAAACTGTACGAAATTTGTATAGAACCGTTATATTAAATCTTTTAAAAATGTAACTAAATTACGAATAGAATGCAATGTGTATCGTCTGAAATTGCTTACTCTTCTAGAACTGCTTGTTCACCTCGAATATTAACTAAAAGCAGTCAATGGAGTTTGAATTGAATTTTTAATTGTATCGTACGTTCCTTTCAGACATTAAATGGCGCCGAGGGTACCGTTCCACCCGGAAGAGTGTACAAGAAAGTCGCGATCGTGGAGAACTTCTTCGACATTATTCATGCTGTCCACGTTGACCTTGAGGGTCGTCCAGGAAAGCATGCTGGTCAGAAAAGAACGTACAGGACGGTAAGTGTACAAACCCCTGAAAAATACTTTCACGTAGTAAACTTCTCCAACGAAAATTCTACGTTTCCTGACAAAATCCAATCAATAATTCCTTCTCGAATCACCCCATCGCATTTACGGATGCATCGAACGTTCACCGCAACGCGTTAAATTTCCCTCACCCCTAACGAATTCATCGAAAGAAAAATTGCAAAACAATACATATCACCTCAACGGATTCGAAGGAACCGCCTTCGCTTCAACCCCTTCCCGCCCCTAGGTCCAACGCCCAGCAATACAGTCACACGCACTTCCAAAAAAAAAAAAACATTCAAAATCAATCTCCCAGTCCAAAGTATCTATCATCATTCGAATTCAATTGATCCCAACTCTTTTTCCCTCCCTTGGGGACCGATATATCGGTCGGCATCGATGACCCCGAATCTCGTTCGGGTGTCGTCAGCCGCAGCCGAATTCTTGCATGACCGCTCGCGACACGCGATTGTATTTACCGTTCCCTCGGGACGGCATTGAGGCATTCAAGCGTCGAACACTCGATACCACACGTCATCTCACGTGTCCCGGCCCTGCGTTGGCGTAAAGCTCTCTCCAGGGTCTCATATCTGTTCTCCGACACCCAACCACCCCCCTCCACCCACTCTTTTCCGATCAGTTTCGCCCTCTTTCCACTGCCCCCCCCCCCCCTATCCATACCCGACGCGTCGCGTTTCACTCCTCTTTCTCCTGTTCGCAACCCCTCCGACCTTCCATCGTCTCCGTCCACCCTTCTCCATCCAAACCGCGTCCACCACCCCTTCCTCTCCATCTGTCTATCTCTCTCTCTCTCTCTCTCACTTTCTCTCTGTCTCTCAACAGCCGCGATCTGCTTGTGATTCAAAACCTCAGGACACTTGTTGCATTGCCTGCTTACTCGTGCAACCACGCGCGCGCGCGCGCTCACGCACATATACACGCGCACCGAATGGCGTAGAAGTACTCGTGCGCGACCGTGAAACTGTTTTACGTTTAAGTCGACGTAGCCACCGCTCGCGATTCATCGGTTTCCGAATAGAACGACGCGGGCGGCTGCGTCGATCCCCCTGTCCGAATTGATCGAGAAGCGGTGGTTGACGGGACCGCGATGTTCTTGTGATTTACTCAGTTTTAACCCTTTTGTAATCCTGTGTTGGGTGTATGAGTTATCCCTGAAAAAGGGTTCATAGATACTCAGGAATATATGTATATGTGAAATGGTCTGCATGTTGCAGTCTCGGATATATTCGTCATCGCGAAAAGATTTACAGATGAGTGTCTGTCATTAAGTACTGACTGATATGTACCGCTGGATGGTCTCCAGATATCTGTGTCGATTATATTCGTCATCTGTGAAATAGTCCTCACATGCCAATGTCGGATATATTCGTCATCTGGGAAATAGTCGTCACGTACCAGTGTCGGATATATTCGTCATTCTTTAACCCCTTCGCACCGGTGGACGAGATATCTCGTCGCGTGATTTCGTTCATGATATGTTTTGGACGATTTGAATGAACGCCTGAAATCGTTTTGACCGAGTGATCGAAATCTTCGTAAAGTTTAGGGTGCAGGGAACAGAGGGTCGTGGAATGTGGAGGGTTGCGAGTCACATAAGAGGGTGCCGAGCCGCCGTTAATTGATACTTACCTCTTGGGGGTATCAATTGTTTCAAGCGGAAAAGTACGAGAAGAATCTTAAATCCGTTGAGAAACATATCACAACGATTTTCAAATAACGTTTTAAAAGGAATTCTTCGAAATTCGATCGGGATAAACAATTATACGCAATACCACTGAAGACAGCTCGTATGAAATTCTTAACTAGCATTACATAATAATCGAATATCAAGTAAAAATAAAAAATGCAAAGTATTCGCATACGCTCGCCCCATTTCAACAACTATAGATTCATAGATTATTTTTTTCTTAATTTCTACAACTACATTCTACCTCTAATAAACTTTCGAATCAACTCTGACTGGATTACACTAACATCAAGAATAATCAATCAACTCTTTATTGTTGCAACGTATCGGATTGCAAATAGACAGAGAGAAGAAACTCAAGAAAAAGGATAATATAATTTTTTCTGCTCCGTCCGATCTATTCCTTGTAACAATTCTAACAACCCAATGGCTATTGGAACACTTCCAACATTCTCACCCTTCAAACGGAACATTTAAAAACTGATTAATATTCATCGATCGGTTGCTTGTGTCACGAAGATTCCAACCAGAAATTCAAGACGACGCTGCCCGTCCGCAACACCCACGAAGTTTCGCCACTGTGTCACGTTGATCCGAAAGCCATTATCTCTCGGTTTCTTACCCGTGGAACCTTTCTTCGTCTCGCGGACGAGCCACCGGTAAATCTTATCGAATTACCTCACCGTTACAACACGAGGCCTGCGCGTACATACACACACACGCGCGCGACACAGCGCACAGAACACACACTAGCGCGAAACCTTTGCCTCTTCCTCGGCTCCGAGGCTCCCATCCTTGATTAAGTTATGCCGCTCCTCCACCTCCTTGAAGAGAAACGTTTCCTATTAAGAGGCAGAGAACATCCCTCCGGCTAAATACCTCCTCGCAAAGACATCAAAGTTCCGTTACTGCTCATGAATTTTCCCCAGTGGGCGTTCCGCATGAAACGGCTCCACGTGACGTTTGACAGAGGACAGAAAAAGCGGACCCTACTGGTGCTCTGTACCATCTGCAGTAAATCATCGATGAGTGTTCGAAAGCTCCTGAGGGTTCGGACGTCATCCCCACCACTGGACGTTTTTTCTGATTCCATGGGGAATCCTCCAGTAGTGGGGATAATGTTTGAACACTCATCGATGATTTACTGTAATTCTTCCAGACCCTTTCACACCACGCAATCATTTCTGTCGATCTAAAGACCGTGTCGCGAATAATTTAACAATAAAATATAAATTATTTTCTTTTAATTAAAAGATAATAAAATAACTGGAACGCCCTCCCAGATCTCCTCAGCGCCCACTTTGGGAACCTATACCAACCACGTCAATTTCGATTGTTTCAATAGTTCTAGCGTTAACGGAATAGAGCCGAGCGCGGAATTCGTATTTTTCTCACACGGAGCCCAATTTTGTGTTCCAGATCACGGAGACGTACGCGTTCCTGCCACGGGAGGCGGTAACGCGATTTCTGCTGGGCTGCACGGAATGCCAACGACGTCCACGTACCCCGAGCCCGACCAACCTGTCCAGCCAGACGCAGTCCAACGCCGCGACGTCGATTGCCACGACACCGTTGAGCCCGAGCCCGGCCGGTGGTCTTGCAACGACGACGTCGACGTCGACGACGACAACAACATCGACGTCGGTGCACAGTGGTTCGAAGCACAGAGACAGCGGGCATCAAACCAACGACAACAGCAAGGCCCTGTACAGTTACAGGCATCAAAAACATCAGAGGGGCAACAACGCTACAGTGAGCACTACGATCGAGAAACCGGAGAAGGAAAAAGAGGAGAAGTACAATCCCCTGAGCATCACGAATCTTCTAAAAAAAGAGCCAACGGTCACAGGCAGCTTTTTGCCCAGTGGAGATACCCTACCAGAGTCCAGGCGTACCCCCGAATCGGATCGAGCTAGCTCGAAAAGTTCCGCGTCGTCCAAGAGAAAGAGGATGCTGCCAGAAGGTAGGACTCCGTCACCTCAGCCTAGCCAGCCATTGCCAAGGCCTTGGAGCCCTGGACTCGATCCCAAAAGCACGCCCATCGATTACAGTCTTCCGATCACCACCTCGTACCTGAAGCATCAGCAGAGGTTACTGCAACAAGCGGAGAAGAATAAAGCCGCCATGATCAAGGAACCCGAACCTGAGCCGAAGCTCACTGTGTTGCCTGCCGAGGAGATCGAGAACGTGGAGAGGGAGAGATACTCGCCAGCCACTGGATTGATAGACACTAACTTAAACCTGTTGGCCACCATTCAACATCTTCACTGTCAGGTGATGCTGGCGCTAACCGAGAGGCTAAGACCTTCTTTCGCGATGCCGAGCCCTCTGGTTCTACCCACAGCGGCTAATATATTGACGAGTGGGATGATGATCGGCGGGTCCGAGGTGTCTGTGCAGACAGGCGAAGGTCGCACGTGAGATAGTCAGACCAAGGACATTTGTTCGAGGACACCGCAAGGAGGACCAAAGGATCCGAAATACTGGATCGACTGATTCATTCTCTTACCTACGAACACTTTGTTATCTCTGCTTCTGTTGGAGTTTTTTAATTGTACCGAGCAGATATAGAGGGAAGACTGGTTGGACAGTTGTGTTGGGAAGAATCCTGTACGCGGCACAGTGTTTTCAGTGTGTGATTCTAGGGGATAGAGTTTGAGTCACGGATGATCGGTAGCGACTTTGAACACGCGACACAGGTGTGAACTGGATCGAAATACATACAGGGAGTTAGCCCATGCACCCCCTACCCTAGCCACGATTTTCATTTCGCTGGCCGATGAATCGTTGTACTCGGTGACCTTGAATCGATGTTTAAGTTACAATTCCTTCTGCCTGATATAATCTGAGAATGATCACTATGGATGTCGAGGTTATTCGATCCTCCCTCCCTTACCCCGTGTAAAAGAAACACTGTACTCTCCGTTTATGTATTTCGAATGAATTAAACGACTTTTAAGGGTTGATATTTCGGTCCGATTATCTGGAAGGCAATTAAATTCTCGACGATTCCGTTTGGCGGAACGATCGAACCAGGTCGTGGTCTAGGCTACAAAAACCGTCTAATATCCGATCCAACTATAACCGTTTGAACTATCGGGGATAACCGACGATCGTTCGTTAAACCGGATAAGATCAATTACCTCGACGAACGGGCGGTGTTCCCTGGCGTCAACGTCAGTTAAATCGGTGGGGATCGGCTCGCGTTTATCCCGATATAGACCCGGCGAACGAATTATTCGTAAGTCTGTCAAAATATAGGTCGGTCGTCGGATGTCACCGATTTCCAGAGCTGTTTTCTCTCTTCGTCGAATCGGAGGATCGAGTCTCTGGGTATTTAAAGATCACCCCCTCAATTCCCCTCCCTCGAAATGGACGTAGAGTTTGACAGGGGACGATCGTTCAGCGAGGACAGAGCTCTTGAATATTTAACGAATCGGGAAGATCGCCCGTGGCCGATGACACACACTGGGCCATTTCGATCACCTGTCTAACCCGTCGTCCCCTACGGTTTTACCGATTTCTGATGGACCATGACGGTCGAATTTCACTATTTCGAAAAGTCTCCGTTCGTTTCCGACACCACGGATCGTTGAATGGCTTTTTTTTTATAGTGTCTTGTCGCGCGAATTATGAATTTCAGCGGAAGTATTTAGTTTTTCTACGAAAGGAGCTAGTCAGTTGAATAAAATGATGTATAGATAATTTAATGGTTTTTTTTTTTTTTTTTTTTTTTTAAAAATGAATTACTTCGACGTATTTGTCCGATTTTGGATTGGTAAAGTTTGTGCTGCGATTTAATATGCAAAAGAAAAGGTCGATCGTAGATGTGACTATGGAAGAGATGTTTTTTGAATGATCGAAATCTACGAATTCTTTTTTTTTGCAACAGTCGATTTGAAAAAAGTATTTTCAGGGCTTTTACGAAGATTTTGCATTTCTGTAAACTTTTCACACGCTGTACTCGATTCAGAACGCAAAGGAAGGAACTGTGGCGCCGAATTACGTTCACCTTCGACGGAATTGAATGTATCATGATATTAACCCTTTTAGGATCTCGCGATTGTTCGGGTTTCTAGTTCGAAAATTTTATAACACTGAACCATTTGAAATTCCGTATAAACAATTTGTTTACTATTTATTCGATTGCAATATCAATAACGTTAAATCGTTACGGTGATTCCCTTTCGTAAGTGACAGGGTTAAACTAAAAGGGTTAACGGAGTAATGTTACCGATCTGAGAACACTACATTAATGCGTTTGCTGTCTTTAACATGAAACAATCGTCATATTTTCCATCGAATCCATTTACAAAATCTATATCGATTCCTTTTCTTTAACACAGTTCAGCTTTTCGTAATTATTTTCCAAGTCCAGTGAGATAGCGAACGCGTTAATACACTCGACAATGAACGTCCTTTCCAAGGAATTGGCTGCGCACGTTCACCACGAACATTGTTATACCAAAGGCGAAACTCTACCGTGGCGACCATTTCCTTGGAACTCGATCGAACTGTTTTATTATCGATATTCAAAGGGGAGAGTGGTGTGTGACCACCGGCCGATTGTCTCGCGACGATAAACGTTTTTACGTATTTGACCGTGTAGTTAATAGCCTTCTGTATGATATTAAACGCCTAGAGGGTAGTTGTTTCCGTGTATCATATAGCATGTTGAACCGGTGAACCTCGAGTACAAGATTGGTACAATAGGGTGTCGAGTAGTCGCGAAACTGGAGGCCCCCGTTTCCGCGCCGTTTTCGGGAGGATTTCGACGATCGTCGTGAAAGTAATCGCGTGAATTCGACGACGCCTCGAACAATCCACGCGTTGAACGAGCACCGAAGAAACCAATATTATTTTGTATATAATCGTTGTACCATAGCGCAGGTTAGTTGTTAAGGGTGAGAACGCGCGCGCGACTGTATTATTACGAGTAATTATCGCTAATTATATTATTATTATTACCGTGACAGTTATCATCCTTGTAACTAATTATTATTATTAATTATTATTATTATTTTATTATATTTAAATTGCACATGAACCAGATGGGAAAATATATGAGATCACTAAAATCTGAATTAATACGTGTTTTCGATTACTCCCATCCCATATCCTTGTATTACCGTCAATATTAATATGTAATGTTAGATATCAATTGTTGATTCTTTACTCATAAACGGAATTTGTTGATTTCATAATACAATCGGTCCCTTTCTATTAGGTCAGGTCACAAATAACTTCTGTCATAGATATTGGAAAAGAATTGCTCAGTAACAATGAAAGAACAATGGCCATAGGATTAGTTAAACTGAGCACCAATAATTAAATTTAGAGGTAATGAAGAACATTAATAAATATCTGGCACAGTAAAAATTAGATTGTTCAATATCTGTACCTCTTTATTTACGTACAGACTTCGATTTGAAAAAATTGGAAAAATATAATTAAAATATACTAAAAATGTAATATTTAATCATTTGCTTATTTTAATACCTTAATTTCCTCGTTTTTATATACATATAACGATCATTTACTGGTGCATCCACCATATTCAACCAAAACCTGGTCAAACAGCCCCTGTCCACGAAGCTAACCAATTATCACCGCCTAAAATCCCATCGCCACTTCAAGATTCTCTTAAAACCGCCCCACTGTCGACAGCCACCTCCAAAAACTCCCCATAATCCGCCCATCCACCACTGGACGTGACACTCGCAACGGGGTTGAAGGGCGCCGAATGTGACTAGGGGGGTTGGAATATATATGCAAATCGTTGTACGCACACGGGCCACGACGGTGATATTCATTCTCCCCATGGCTAGCTATCGCAGAAGAGTTAGCAGTAAAAACGAAAAAGCCCAGGCGAGAAAAAGATCGGTCGATCTTCCGCCCTACGAGCGAACAATGAACGCAATTGACACTTTTCGGTGCACTGCAGCCAGGCTACACAGAGGGTCCAAAGGCTGCCGTCTCGATGTACTTTAATATCGCGAACAAAAGAGGAAGGAGGAATCATCGAGTCTTCCCTTTAACGAAGGAGGAACAAGGGGATGGGGCTGGGGAGGTGAACTCGCAGAACGAGTTACCTGTTCCTCTCTCGGTAAGGATCGTTTCTTCGAGGCACCATAGGTAATACAGAGCAAAGGCTCTGTCCCATCTGGCTGTTGCCGGTGTGTGTTGTAGCAGCCTCGTTCCATCAACTGGCTCTCTTGGTCTCGCTCTCTAAGTCTCCCTTTTCTCTCTGTCCTACCCCCTTTATTCTTCTCTCCTTGTGCCCACCTGTCCTACCCGTGTCTTCCTCTCTCACTCTTCGTCTCTACCCTTAGGAAAACTCGACCCCCATCCCCCGTGACGGTTTCCAGTAAGGCCACCTCGTGCCCACCCGCTTCTCCGCCATCTACCCTATCCCGAACCACCCCCCTGCTCTGGCCGTAATACCGTTCCTCTCACTTTCTCTCCCTCCCTCCTACCCCTGACCTAGCCATCCTCTAGCCATCGCCTCCACGACTCCGTCTACCCTCTAAGCACGCCTCGGATGCCCTCTTCTCCTTCTATCCTGTGTACCCCCACCCCCTCCCCCTCAACCCTCGAAGCGCTCTCGGCCGTCGTCGAAACGCGGCGAGACCCCAGCGCGCACAGCTTTTGCCGTGGCATTGTTGCTATCGATTCGCCCCCTAGAACCGTGTTTTTCTTCGGATATTTCGTGGCTTTACCCGGCTACAGCCCAGCCTTCGCTCATCTGGAATAACGAGGATTCCGAGGAACCGGGGCCCCGTCTACCCCACTCACCCCCTATTCGCCATTCTTCCACCTAGCGTACCCAGTCCGCTCGGCCAACCACGAATAACTGGCGTTTCGTGGCACGGGAGACAACGTACGTATTCGTTGTTTTATTCCGTGGTTTTTAAACGTTGAAGACTGACCTAGTCGAAGTTTCGCCGTTTTATGGCCACCGTCACATTGAAGCTCGGATGTTTTTGTCGAACTGTTTTGGGGATTGTACTGTTTCTTGTGTTTGTAGGTCGTTTGTTTTGGGGTTTGTTCGGATTTTTCGGAGGGTTCGAGTTTAACAGGTGTCCCGCGGGTCGGGTTTCACCATTTCGGTTTTGAAGAAGTTTATAGAGAGTTGGGGGCAGATTTACACTATTGAGCCGAAAGTATGGGATCTAGTGTGATGAATAAAGGAAGAAAAATATTGAGTGAAGTGATATTTACTGTATTTTCTATCCAGTTTCTGGTAGACTTAAAATGCTTTGGGACAGTAGCGTATAGATGAAGATTTCGAAGTCAAACCACCTTCGTAAAATGTCGAGATTTAATTTTAATACACGTGATTGATAAACTGTTTTTCTATGTCAGCGTGAACACAATTTTTAATAACCCTTATGTTACGTGTATCGAGGACTTTTCAGTCATTTGAAAAAGGTTAATCAATGTAGATAAAGAAGATAACAACGTAATGTAGACACGATTGTGATGTTTTCGTTGTTCTGTTTCTAATTAAATTCAAACGAACGATTTAATGACTTCGGGTGTCCGATTCGGATAACTCAACGTAGATTAATTTTGAATCGTGTCAATCAACCTGAAGCTGCTATTATACTCGGTAGTTCGCGCCGGGGTGAGTTCCTTCAGAAACAGACTCGAGCCGTTTCACCGCTTGTCCGATCGGGACTACTGATTTGTGCTCGATTATACAGGTTCTAAAAGCCATTGTGGTACTTTGAAAGTTTCTCATTTGCCTCTGGTGACGCTCGATCGATCGTGAATAAGTATCGAAATTCGGGGGGATAGTTAAACGGAGGTTTCGATTTTCTTTGTGGCATCATCGATTAACACCCAACCCATGGAAATGCATCTGAAGTGAGAAAAAGGCAGCTGAAACTTGTTGCTTTTACATATATTCTGTATATACATTTTCATTAAACTATTGTCATAGTACCTTTAACGATATTCTTTCTTAATAAATACCACTCACGTTCTCCTATAAAAATTTAATACTGTATATTCACGTTTCATAAGATAAAGTTATACAAAATTCAATTCACGACACGTTTCGTATAAATGTATTTTCATATCTGTAGAAGATTCATTAGACTGCGGATGTTTATGCATTTATACAGTCCCTTCACTTGACAGAAAAAAAAATGAAGAATTTACTAAAGTTACTCAGTATATATGTATTATTATTATTAACGTAGTGAAGCTAGTAGTGTAAACTTGAAAGATTTTGTCCGACTTTAACTTTTAGATACTAGCATCCGAAATCGTGAATTTCCATAAAAACTTCGCGGTCTAATTATCATACGTCATCAAGGACCACTGCTCATCCGAACTGATTTATTTTGATCCTGAATTGTTTCGTTAAATTCGACGTCCGTACTTACCCCATACACAATGTCCACAAACACCCCAAATGAACTGGAAATAACACAATTAAATAATACTAAGTGAATATAAACACTACGTCATTAAAAACTATTACGTTATAATCCTTACGGTATACACTGAGATTAAATAAATTTCCATATTAGTTGCCACTATTTAAATATACGCGACACCATGAAAACTGTAGCACAAAAATGATAAGAAAGCAGTCGAAAATATTTTACGAGACTCACCTCCGTAAACATGCGTCACTTTCCGTTGAGACTGCTCGCTCGACACTGACAATAATAACACGAGTCGCCAACGAATGTATTCATACAAGAAGGTGGGGGGAACCGAACATTATCACTGTGTCTGGAATAACCTGGTGTCCGTATTTCTCCCATTGTCCCCTATTCGAAACAAAGAAAAATAGATTTATACCATGAAAAATAATGAATCTTTCGGGGCCATCAATTATTCAAACACAAAAACAACGGGGCTAATAAATTAAAATCTTGAAGTGAATGTGCCAGTGCGATTACTGAGATGACGCCTAAATCGATTTTCGATGTACGTGATTTGCCGATAACTGTGGACTGTTTAACCGACACCGAATTCAGAGTGTGTCACCGACGATTGCATCGCCTTAAAGAAAAAAAAAAAACGGCTCTTTTGCGAATGCACAATCCTAAAGTCTCTCCAGGAATTCTTTCTACCGTCCATAAAGGACCGCTCTTGCGAACGGTTCGAGCGTCGGTCGATAACAGTCCGTTGCCGCGCGCGTCGCGGCAGAAATTAAGAAGCGCCCGAAACATTCTCGTCAGGAGATTTCAACGAATGGCTACACTTGCCCCGCAGGGGACGCGCCTACATACGTATATATGCACGCGTCGCAATGGCGTGTGTCCGTTCGCGACGTTCAGTCATTTTCGAATCCAGAGACATTCGTTTCCAACGATTCTGAACGGCGACCGTGTGGGTTATCGTGTACCTCGAGTGCCCGTAACTCGATCGGACGGCGATTTAACGTTTTTTTCACGCTCTATCCCCCCGACTCGCGATTCCGCGGGCGGGCTTGACGTCCATTGTTCTTCGGAGGGGAACTCTTCGTGGCCCTCCGTGTCAGGCTTCCTCCACAGGGAAATGAAAAAGAAATGAAAAATAGAAAAATCAAATTGGCGAGGCATGCTCGACAATACCGGCGCGACGATTCATTTCGTTCCGTCACCGTCGATATCCATTAGGCCTTCGAGGGTGTTTAAATTTCGATGGCGATCCCATCGTTTTCGCGGTGTGACAAGACTGGAGGTAGTTCGAATGCAGATCTTCGTACCAATTCCGTATGTTCCTGCGGAGTATGGTGGTATTATGCTGGAAATGGAATCGAGTGAAACTTTTGTTTCTTCGATTAAGGATTATAATATCCTATCTTAACCATCAAGGACACGTCTGGCGTATTTCGTACACGCCACTGGTAGGACGAAGTCTACTATTTCTTTACGACACTTTTTCTTCTCGCTAAATGTTTTTCTTTTCATTTCTATTGTCTATTATTAAACATAGAAAATTATTGATGTAACAGATAAAAGGAAAGTCTACATCGTTCCCAAACTTCACTCGAATGTTCGACACCACCCGGTATATTCGCAACACGGAATCAGACGGAACTTCCGTCTCTGGCCGGAAGCTCAAAGCTAATGCACTCTCCGGGTGTAAATCCAGTTATTAACAAATATCCAAGCCGACTGAATATCGGACCCCGGACTCTAGGTACCACCAGCTATCTACAAGCGCAAGGAATGGGACAACGGTGTGTGTATATAAATTTATATACACAGGGTGAGTCAATAAGAACTACTATCAAAAATCGCTCGTCACTTATTGATTGTATCAGAAAACGTTTTAACGAATTATGTAACATTTTAAGGGTTGCATCGGCTTCTTTTATATCTTTTTTTGTACATATCAAGGTGACTTTCAGTTTTTTCAAGGTTAATGTACCATTTTATTAATACCACGTTGTTGCCAATAGAAGGACGAATTCAACGCCCTATGGTATTTAAAAAAAAAAGATATATTGGCCTTGAAAAAACTCAAAGTCACTTTGATATCTAAAATAAAAAATAAGATATAATGAAAACAAATTGTATCCATCCGATGCGTCCCTTGAAATGCTGTATAATTTATTTCAAAGTTATTCGATACCTCTAATAGATATTGTCCTCTATCTCTATCTTCTGATCATTACTTTCGCCCATTTTTCACAGGTACTCTAACAAAGTTGCACATCTCATAGACTTGTAATATCACATGGCACTTGTGCCTGAACCTCCGTATCCCTTAATTCAAGGGCTGCATGCCCTTCGATAGGACAGTGGCATCTATACTACCGATCCAGGATCCCAAAAATTTGTCAGATTTCAACCGTCGCTAGACGTCTAAGAAATTCGTCGAAGAAACGACAAACGGTGTCTATCGGGGGTATGACGAGCACCGAGGTCGCCGCCACCCCCGCCGGCCATTGTAATTCGTATCGCGAGTCGTACGGGAAAGATCTCTTATTTTCCGGTAGTATCCCGGGGTATACCTACCTATATCCCGGGCCCCCAGTGTCTACCCTCGTTTAAACCTTCCTAACCCACCCACCTTCCAACCCCCATCTCACCCCCTAACGTGAACGTTCCCCCTTTCAGCCACGTCGACGACGTCCGACTCGTACCACGTCTCGCCTCTATCCTCTCTCCAACGGAGGGATATAGCGCCGACCGAGCTCTAGAATGTAAGGGATGATTTTGGAGATAGCTCGAGGGTCGCCCGGTATACGTAGGAGTTCTAGGTTGCCGGGTGGGTGGTTGTACGGGGGCGGTGAGGGAGGGAGAGTTGGATGGTCGGAACGAGTAGCGTGACGAGGAGAGACCAGGGGTTTGCGAGAGATGTAGAGAATACGAAAGAGAGAGAGGGTGAGATAGAGGGTTAGAAGAAACGATAGACAGAGGAAGGTAGAAACTGGAGTTAGATGAGGGATGAAGAAGGACAGATAGCGCAAGATGAGAGAGGATAGAGATAGAGAGAAAGAGAACGATGGAGCAAGGGGGTGGGTGAGGGATACGGAGGAGGGTGTAGGTTTGCGAAACGGGGGCTGCCATTGGGATGCTTCGCCCGCGGGGTGGTTGAAAGGGTGCATGGAAGGGGGTGGTAGGGAGAGAGGGGGGTTGAGGTGAGACTGCAGAGTCTCAGGAGGGTGAGTTCGGCGCCGAGGTGTCGGCCTTTCTCTCTGCCTCTCTATGTACCCCCTGTGTATGTACAACGGTATGTAGGTTCGCCTAAGTACGCGGGCTGGCTTGTTTAAATCTAAATAAATAATTTCGGTCGTGGAACGTCGGCGTGACGTTGATCTCTCTCGCTGATCGGCGTGATGTTTCTCGGTTTGGGTAATAACGTGCCCTAGAACGATGGATCGTTGCACCTACCGACCCCCCATCAACCCCCTGAGATGTCGGATAGACGGGCCCCTCGGGGGGGCCTTGATGGTGCTTGTGCACGTTGGTTTACCAGGTGAAATATTAAACACCGCGTGATTTCAACGTCATCCCTTGATCGCGAAGAATGCCGCTTCCAATCCGGAATTAACCATTTGACAGGATAACCCCTGGTTGTGTCTGAATCCACTTCGATGGGTACATCTGAGGTTTCCTGGCCGGTTGATGTACCGTGGGCCATTTATAATTATGTTTTTTTCACATTCGAGGACTGTACAGTGTCGGTGGAACAGACGTTTATGATTCATATTTTTTGTATGTGCGATATGTATGTTGTTTTCATTTTAAATATCAGTTTGGAAGAACTTTTGATAGGTGATCGTGAACCTTCGGTCGGTTCATAACTCTTATCGTTTAGGAGAGTAATTCTTTTGATAGAGTTTGGAATATTCTGCAGGGATATGAGTCTAAATAGGTGTGTCTTAGGTAATATGGTTTTTTCGAAGCGTTACACCATTCTCGCGCAATAAAATACCGAGAAGATACTTTTAACTTAAAATATCGTCACCTCACAATTAAGTGAAAAAAGGAAATAGTGGATTGCTTATTGTTGCACGTAAATATTATATTTTATATTAGTGTAGACCCCGATTAATTTTCAGTACGTCGGCCGGCGAGATAACAGGGTCAGGGGAGTTGCAGTAGGCGACGGGAGGGAAACGAAATGGGGTTACTAATTCCCGAATAATGAAGGGATGAATCGCTCACCCCTTTAGTGAACGATAAAGGGGTCGCCTGCCTGTTTGGCGCCCGTGCCGTTCGAGTTTCACCGTATTTTTTTTTTTTTCGACCGCATATGTCACGCATTAACCGAAACAACCTGGCTCGAAATGAATGGTAGAGCCCTTTCCAATCGTTATTAAAATTACTCCCTGCGATATTTGTCACACGTTCCCTGTTTCTCAAGGATTCGATATCTTTGTACATCGTGTAATTAGGTTCTATAGTCCCTGAAGACTAATTTACTGGAATCTAGAGGATTCTTTTCTGACGGACATTTTTCGGTGAAAATTTCGCATTTTGAAATTTCTGAATGCCATTTCAACGCGTGAATTTGCTCGAATTTATATCGAACAAATGAAGAACAGAGTCAGGTAGTAATGAACAGAACTTGATTTGCATTCGTTAAGGATACTATACACTGCAAATAAACTGAAGTAAGATAAATAAATTCAGTGAGAAAATGAATGGAATAAATAATAATCCTCGAAACTGGAGAATTTGTGATAACTGTAACAGGAACTTCAATATTTTCAGTAATATTCATGATAAACTGTTCATTCGTTAAAATTATTACAATCGTCTGTATCACACAGAAAACTTAATATTACGAAATAATACTTACAAAAATACCAAAGAAAATATAGAATCCCGATGTGGCCATAACGAAACAGAAACATTAACTTTTAATTGTCTCACAGACGACATTCACTTCGTTCGGTTTTTACGAAACGTTACATTTTCTTCATGCAGATCACGTGTCCTATATATTTACCATACAAAATGTTCTCTCAGAACACAATTGACCTCACACATGGCCACCAACTTTTCACTCCTGATCCAGAAACCTACTCCACACATTGAAACAATACGAACTTTAAATCGTTCCCGTGTATTCGAACGGGAAGTACAGGTGTATTGTTTAAAATGTTTATTCTTAACTAGCACGGAGCTTTTTCAACCTATCCCCGGTGGGATACGTTTAAACAAACGCGACCTTTTTTCTCTCTCCGTCTCTCTCTTGAAAGTGAC